AGAGAGAGTTCTAGAGGAAAGAAGAGATCAAGAGAAAGGAAGGGAGGAAGAAAGGGTTTGGGCCAAATCTTCTCCAATTAGCTACCTAAGGTAAGAATCTTCTTCTAATTTCTTGAAATAGGGTTGATTCACCCATGATCTCATGGTAAGTAAATTGAATTAAGAGAAAATTATGTCTAATTGAGAATATTGTGATGTATTTAACCTAGGATGCATTTTTGAGCATACAAGGAATAATATTATGAAATTCATGTTTAGAATCATGTTTTTCTTGCATGATTGTCATATTGGGGAGGAGACTCCATGGATTTGAGAAATGAAGCTTTTATGTGCATGTTTATGATTTTTTTCATCTTAATTCAAGGTTTAAAGCTTTACATGATGCATTTGGAATTTATTTGGAAGTTGTGATGTTTAATTTAAGTTGTTTTCAAGTGTTTGGGTCTTGAGTTTTATGATTTTGAGGTCGTTTTGGCAAAAAGAAAGACCCATGGTTTAGCAGAAATTCGGACTGGTTTTTCACCCAGACCGCTCGAGTGGCCTGGGCCACCGCTCGAGCGGCCAAACAGTGTTTTGGCTACTGCAGTTCCACCGCTCGTGCGGCCTGGGCCACTACACGAGCGGCCAAGCCACCGCACGTGCGGCCTGGGCCACCACATGTGCGGCCAAACAGTGCAATTTTCCAATTTTGTTCTCTTGTCGTTTTCTGACTTCCGGGCCTTCATTTACTTGATTTTCACATGTTATATGCATCCATTAGCATCTCATAAGCATGAAATAAAGTAAATAAAGAATAGAATGGCATTAACTAATTGATTCGATGGCAATATGTGTTAAGGAAGTGTGTTATAATGTCGGTATTTGTAGGTCAAACCTCGAAGACCGCACAATCGATTTTGGAAACCCACGGTGAGTAACATTTCTGTAAAGATATGTTAATATGAACTATGTTCCAAATGTGATACGTTAAGTTATGTTTTTGAAATGTGATTTTGATTCTGTGAACGAATGTCCTATTTGCGAAACTAGTATGGCATCCACGGATAGTCCCAAGTCATGGGGGACGGCACGTTAGTGCGGGTCCATGACATATGTGTGATACGAGATCTCGTTAGCCACTTCATTGTGGTGATATGTGTTAATCAGTAACCGGAACCGATTCTCTAGTCGGAAGACGATATGTGTTATATCCTGTGAAATGTACCATTATGTTATGTTCTGATATGAATGATTATGAATGATTTGTTTTACAAATACGTTATATGTGGAATTCGTTCACTACCCCTTTACTTTAATGTTATTCACTGGGCTTTAGCTCACTGTTTTTATATATGTATTTATAGGTGAGCATTCTGGGAGTCAAGCCTAGGCGGAGTCTTGAACCGAGCCGCCGTTTTGGAAGCCTACCAAGTGTTTTGGGTGCCTCCGAGTTGGGGTTAGGCCTGGAAGGCCGTTAGCAAGCTTTGTTTTTGTTGTACACTCGTGGCATGTGCCTATGTTTTGTATATGATGTTTTGTTATATGTCATGTAATGTAAGTGGGTAAATTAACATTTTTGGCATGTAAATATTTGTTCATATATATGCACAGCTCTTTGGACTTATCGTATTTTGTCTTTGCTTCCGCTAGCCCCGATTATTTACGTTTTGTACAGGAAGGCCTGTGGTAATCTTCGATTATTGGCCGGTTACGATGCCAAGCTTTTAGGGGTGGGTTTGGGTCGTGATAGAAACCTTACAATAACATAGCTATATATAGATAAAAACATACAATGTAAATGCATTAAATGCAACTATGGCTATCAGTGTGAATGCATTCAATGCGTATACGGCTATCAACCACCGCATTGAATGCAGCAACCAAACTCATTGAATGCAACCAACCAACTCATTGAATGCAGCCTCCATTTTTGTCTAATAATCAATATTACTTCACAACATCCCCCTTAATCTTGATTCTCCATGCAGCTTCATCCCGAGCATTATCTTCCTTCTGTTGAACAGATCATTTTTCATTGGCTTTGTGAAAATATCTACAAGTTGATCTTGAGATTTGCAAGGAAATAATTCCATCTCTTTATTTTTCACATGCTCTCAGATGAAATGATATCGGGTGTCAATATGCTTACTTCTTTCATGATAAACTGGGTTCTTTGCCAATGCAATTGCTGAGCGATTATCAACATAGATCTCAGTGGGTTTTTCTTGTGGAAATCCCAAATGCTTCAGCATGTTCCATAACCATATTGCATGACACATAGCTAAGTTGGCTGCAACATACTCAGCTTCGCAAGTTGATAATGTCGCAATGGCTTGCTTCTTGGATGACCATGTGAAGATTGTATCTCCCATAAAGAAAGTAAATCCCGTAGTACTTTTCTGTTCATCCAAGTCACATCCCCAGTCGCTATCTGAGTAGCCAACAAGACTGAAATTATCAGTTGGTTTATAGAATAAACTATCATCGATTATACCTTTGATGTAGCGAAGAATCCTCTTTGCTGCATAAAGGTGTGACTGATCCGGTGTTTCCATATATCTGCTAATCAGTCCTACTCCATAGAGTATGTCTGGCCTGGTGCAAGTAAGATAGCGAAGACTTCCAACTAGGCTCTTGAAATAAGTTAGATCCACATCACCTACCTTCGTACCTTTTCTGAGCTCCACTCCATTGTCTATAGGAGTGTTCACTGGATTGCAATTCTCCATTCCGTATCTCTTGAGAATTTCCTTGGCATAGCCACTTTGGGAAATAAAAATTCTATCTTTTCTTTGAGCCACTTCAATGCCGAGAAAATGAGCCATCAATCCAATATCTGTCATTTCAAATTCTTGGACCATGCTTCTTTTAAAGTCTTTGAACATGGCTGGATTGTTTCCGGTGAAGATTAAATCATCAACATAAAGACAAGCAAGCAACATGCTTCCATCAGCTTCCTTCTTCAAATATAGTGCATGCTCATATGGACATTTTTCAAAACCATTGTCATGAAAATACTGATCAATTCTAGTATTCCATGCATGCGGAGCTTGCTTCAATCCATAAAGTGCTTTCTTCAATTTGTACACTTTGTCTTCATGGCCATTCTAAACATACCGCGAAGGTTGTTCAATATAGATCTCTTCTTCAAGGAAACCATTAAGAAATGTAGATTTCACATCAAGTTGATAAATCTGCTACTTGTGCTGGGCAGCCAAAGAAATCATTAGCCTGATAGTCTCCAATCGGGCAACTGGAGCAAACACCTCTCCATAGTCAATTCCAGCTTTCTGCTTGTAACCTTTGGCTACTAACCTTGCTTTGTAGCGTTGCACTTCGCCTTGTGCATTCCTCTTTGTCTTGTATACCTATTTCACTCCAATGGGTTTGTGCCCTTCCGGTAGATTGGTAAGCTTCCATGTGTCATTTTTCTCAATGACATGAATTTCTTCATCCATTGCTTTCTTCCATTTATCTTGTTGGATAGCTTCTAAGAAGGTAAGCGGGTCGCTATCTGCAAGTAGGCAAAACAAATTCATATCTACTTTTTCTGTAGCTTCATATATCTCCTGTAAATTTCTCATTGGTCTTGGTTATTTGAAAAAACTATCATCTAATGATGCTGATGCTACTGATGATGATGATGATGATGATGATGATGATGACGACGACACAGCACTTCTGTGAGAAACTGGCGATCTAGGTGCAGGTATTCTATGTGGAGGAGTTTGTGGCTCATATTGAACTTCTCTTGTAATTTCAACTGGAGCTTTTGATGTTTCATCTTCAAGAATGAGTTTTGCATCTTTAACAACTTCATCTTGATTCCAGTTCCAAGCTTCTTCTTCTTCAAATATCACATCTCTACTCATGATCACCTTTCTAGTAATGGGATTATACAACTTGTATCCCATTATTCTGTCTCCATATCTGACAAGGATACATTTTTCTCCCTTATCATCGAGCTTGGTTCTTCTTGCTTCTGCAATCTTGGTGTAAGCAACACACCCAAATATTCTGAGATGATTAATGCTTGGCTTATGTGAACTCCAAGCTTCTTCTGGAGTCATAGAATGAAGGCTTCTGGTTGGACATCTGTTCAACAAATACACAGCACATGATACGGCTTTAGCCCAAAATTTCTTGGGTAGTCCATTTCCTTTCAACATACTCCTTGCCATATCTAAGATTGTGCGATTCTTCCTTTCAGCAACACCATTCAATTATGGCGTATAGGATGGTGTTGTTTGATGCTTGATTCCATGCTCTTTGCAATAATTCTCGAAAGCATCTGATGTATATTCTCCACCTTGATCTGATCGCAATGTCTTGATGTAGTAGCCGCTTTGCTTCTCTACAAAGGCTTTGAATTCTTTGAAGATACTGAACACCTCCGACTTTCTTTTAAGAAAATACACCCATGTCTTCCGGCTATAATCATCAATGAAGGTGAGAAAGTATCTATTCTGTCCATTTGACATTGGCTTCAATGGACCACACACATCAGTGTGTACTAGCTCCAGCAGCTTGGTTGCTCTCCACTTCACTTCTTTGGCAAAGCTAGTTCTGTGATGCTTGCCAAGAATGCAGCTTTCACAAACTTCATTAGTATAAGCAATATGAGGGAGCCCTTTCAACATATTCTTGCTTGACAATAGTTTCAAGCTTCCAAAGTTGAGATGTCCAAACCTCAAATGCCATAGCCAGTCTTTGTCTTTGATGATGGCATTTAAACACTTCGCAGCATCATGTTGGATGTTCAATGCAAACATCCGATTCTTGGACATTCTCACCCGAGCGATCAAATTACCATGATTGTCTTTGATGGTAAGATGACAATCTTTCATGCTGATGTCATATCCTTTCTCTAGGAGTTGTCCCATACTCAAAATATTGTTCTTCATGGCAGGAACATAATAAACATTGGAGATGTAATCATGATCTCCATTCTTGAGCTTGATCAAAATATTACCTCTTCATTTCACTAGAGTCTTTGAAGAATCACCAAATGAGACTTGTGCTTATACAGTCTTGTCAAGCTCGACAAATAACTCCTTTCTACCACACATGTGGTTGTTGGCTTCCGAATCTAGATACCAAACATTGTTTTGGTTTTCAGGGTCTCCATGGTGGACAAATACGACTGTAGGTCCAACTTTGTTTGTTTCCTGCTCGGCAAAATTTGCTTGATCTCCGGCTTCTGTTGTTGTTCTACTTCGGTATTCATTGCTGTAATGCCTGAACTTGTGGCACTGGTTGCACTGAACATTGCTTTTGTCAAATCTTGGTCGGTTGTTGTAACCACCTCCTCTACCTCTTACTCTTCCTCTTGGAGCAAAGTGTGGTTGACTTCTTCCTTCTCTGGCTGGACCACTTCCACCTCTTCCTCGAAAACTAGAATTTCGGTTATTGTGACCACGACCTCTTCCTCGGCTTCTTTGTGATGTCCCTCCTTGCTCGTTTCTATCATCTTTGAAAGACAACTTTGATTGAGAAGCTTGCTCTAGAGAACTTGAGGGAATCTTCTTGTTGATTCCTTGTTCATGGATCTCAAGTGTACCCATCAACTCGTCGGTGGTCATGGCATTGAGATCCTTGAACTCTTCTATTACTATAACCACATGCTCGAACTTGGGACTGAGTGATCTGAGAATCTTCTCTATCACTTGAAGAGATTCCATCTTTTCTCCATATCTTCTCATCTGATTAACAATAGTCAATGTTCTGTTATAGTACTCAGAAATTGACTCATTCTCATTCATGTGCAACATCTCAAATTCTCCACGTAACACCTGGAGTCGAACTCTGATCGTCTTCTCAATTCCACGGTGTGAATTGTAAAGAATACTCCATGCCTCTTTAGAAGTTGTTGCTGCTGAAATCTTCTCAAAGCTTAACTCATCAATGCCTTGATAGAGTAGATACAAGGCCTTTTTATTTCTCTTCCTTGAATCTTTTAATGTCGTCTTCTAAGCATCATTTAAACTTCCTTCATCTTCGAGAGTAGCTGGCTCGTCATATCCTCGATCCACTAACTCACACAAATCTTGTGAGGCTAGTAGAACTTGCATTTGAATACTCCAATGTTCATAGTTCTCCTTGCTGAGTTTTGGAAACTGAGGCTGAAAGAAGTTGTTTGTGTTGGCCATTGGTTGTCTTTAAAAATCTATAAATTTTCAGAAAGGAATTTGCAAATTTTGACCATACAGATGTGTCTAGAATATTCCAAATAGTTGGAAAGCACTATTGGATCACCAGAAATAGACTCCAAATGGCTCAGATCAAGTCAAAACAAATTAAATGGTTCAGATCTAAAAAATCTGGTGCGGCTGAGAAGCACCGGATAATTCCTCTAGTTCGGCTTGCGTCAGGTTGACGTTAGCGGCTTGGTTAATGGCTCAATCAGCAGCCTCGGCTTTGGCTACGACTCGGCTTCACTCGGCTTGGTCAACGGCTTGACGGCTTGGTCAACTCGATTTGACAGCTTGGTCAACGGCTCGGAGGCTTGGCTCACCGCGGCTCAGGCAACGTCAATTGCCGTCATTATGACGTCAGCAAACGGCGGTGATGACGTTAGCGCCTGAGTGAATAGAGAAGACGCGTACATAGCGTTTTACACGTGGAGGCGCGTGGTCACGGTGCGTATAAGTGCATGCGGCTTTGTTCGATCTGAGTTTTCGACGCGATTTTCACGGTTGTGCTTGTCTTGTCAGGAGCTTCAATTTGATGTGATCAAAATGGATTTCGACCACTTTGATTTCTGGCCAATTTTTGAAAACACACTCTGTTTTTGCAATTTTGCGGAATGTCTGCAAATTTAAGCTACCTTCGGCTCTGATACCACTGTTGGTGGGAGTGGGGTGCAAACCACTGTTGGTGATTCACAAAAAGAGGTTTAATAATGAACCAAACTGAAATTAAATTCACTCACAACAATTTTGAAACAAATACAGAGCATGAACACACTCTTCTCTCTTTTATTTTCTTTCTCACACACACACTGAAACCTTACAATAACATAGTTATATATAGATAAAAACGTACAGTGTGAATGCATTAAATGCTTCTACAGCTATCAGTGTGAATGCATTCAATGCGTATACGGCTATCAACCACCGCATTGAATGCAGCAACCAAACTCATTTAATGTAACCAACCAACTCATTGAATGTAGCCTCCATTTTTGTCTAATAATCAAGATTACTTCACAACAAACATTTTAAGGATATTGGTTTGGCTAACTCTTGACCAATGTTTTAAAAGTTGGATTGGTGAGCGAATCGGAAAAATGATCGGGTGGACGAGTCACTAGTTCAACCATTGGGTTGAAACGGAAACGAACCGTGAAGTAATAAATAAATTAAAATTATATTTAAATAAAAACATAAGTAATAAAATTATAAATTAAAAAATTAAATTATCTTAAATATTTCTCCTAATATTTTTTTGTACGAAAAAAATATAATAATATATTTTAAAATATTATTAATTTTAATTTTAGAAGAGGAAATCAAATATTCAATATTCCCTCCATATGGTTTTAATTAAATCCCCACATAGATTTCTTGAGTTTTTTTGGAAGAATTTTTTTCTTATAAATAGGTAAAGACTTTCATAATAATTTTAAACTCTTAATGAGATTCCTTACAAAAAGAGACCCTTGAAAGAGATTTTCCAATTAATTTTTTTATATACATATATATATCAAATAAGAAGAAAGAAAGAATTTTACTACACAGTTTTCAAAACCATTGGTCAAAACCATGCTCTTGACTACTACTATATTAGAATGTATATATATAAAATAAGAACGTCTGGTCTGATTTTCAAAGCCATGCTTTTGACTACTAATTTCTCATCCAAAACTGAAGACCAAAGCTATACGCCAAATTGGAGATGACCATCTGTCCTTCCTGAGCTGCATAGAAAAGTCTAGCTCATGGAAAAAGAATTTCAAGATTAGCATTAATTGAGAAAAAAACCCATTCAACATGCAAGAAAATAATTAAGGAAGCAACTCCAAAGGAATGACTCATCATTTTCTTGATTAGTCATTCCTTTTTCATTTTCTTGATGAGTCATTTCTTTTTCTTTTTTTTTTTTTGAAAAAGGAAGGACTCATCAAGAAAATGATGGTCTTCTACGTTTCTTTTAATAAATAAATATTAAATATAACGGTGATATTATGTAATGATATCACCATCTAATGAGTAATTTCACTTGTTATAGAGACCACAATATGGTTGGGCTAAACTTGAACAACACGTAAGATGTGAAACTTGAGCCAGAACGGGCAAGGTGTGTTTGAATGCAATATGGACTTGACTTTCTTTTAGGGATATTCTATATACATTTATGGATAAAATTCACTTCACCTCCTTATGGTTTATTGTCGAAGCACTTTACCCTCCTATGGGTCACATATAGGCAAAGAATCCCTACGTGGTTTTGGACTGAATTACAACAGTAACTCTGTTAGATTTAATGATGAAATGACATTAATACCCTTAGTCTTCTTCTACGGATTATTTTTTTTTAAAGAAAAAAAAGAGCAAATTTATTAATTTTTAAATATAATTAAGAGTCATATTTTTTTAATTGCCAAAAGATTTTACTACCTTTTAACCTAATTTATTTATAAGATATTTTTATACTTAATTAAAAAAAAATTATGTGTTTAACTTTTAAAGTTACTTTGATTTTTTTTTATTATTTTTTTTTTTAGAAATTTCATTACATTCTAATATTATATTACTAGTGGTAAACTCGTGCTATGAATGGGATTGGCTTAATAATGTGTAAATTTTTTAATAACACATTAATTTTTAAGTTAACTCATAAAATTATAACCATAATGCATAGAGATCATCTTCTCAAATTTCATAAGTAAGACAATATTTCAATGTAAATATTCATAAAATATTATAATCATCCAACTGTTCTATTTTTCTTGAAATAATAAACTTGATTTTTAACTAATGAAATAATCTATACTGACAATAAATAAGTTATTTATCAATGAACCTAATGTCTACAACATATATATGCTATAAATGTCATAAATCAAAGGGTGAAGCACCAATAAATCCCAAAATTTAGTATTGTGAACTAATTAGTCCTTAGGATTTTCAGATGAACTGAAAAGTCCTGTTGTAAATGAAATTACATAAAACGTTGCTTTGATAACACGCGTTTAAGTGAAACGAGGGGTAAATATAGAATTGAACGTGAGGGGAAATTACACATTTGGACCAAGCTCACTATAGACTTATTGCGTTTTCCCTCCTTCGTGATCGAATCCCACATTAACCGGGATGGAAAGATTTCATATTCGAATGTTGATTTCGATAGGCATTGATATGTAATTGTATGCCAATGTTCGTGGTTGTATTTCACTGAAGGCGTGGTATTTCCTTTGTTTTGAAAGCAGAAACTCTTCATAGTGCGATTGAGGATTTGGGTTTTGTTCCACAAATCGTTGAAATAGTTTTGGGAATTTTGTTGCACAACAGATGAGGACGGCACAGCGAGGTTAGTAATGGTTGTCTGATTTGCAATGGAATTTGGGAATCGTCATTTTAGGGCTTGGTGCTGTGTAGGTAGGGGTTCTATAGTAAAGGGGCTTAATGTGAATATTTGATGCGATGTTTGTTTGTTATGTGGATGTGGCTTTTATGTAACATTGTCGTGTTGTTTAGTGTTGGTTGTTGTTTACCGGTTTGACAATGTTGTATAGTGTTGATTGATGTAGATCCGCTTGATGTGTTTTGATGGTTGGGTGTTTATTTGCCATTGTTGTTTGGGGTTTGTGTTCGGTGTTAGATTATTTGGTAGGGTTTTATAGTGGCAAAGCATGTAGTCACGTTTGGTGTTTGTAAATATTCACATTGATGCAGTGAGTTTTATGTTCTACTACATCATTAAAACACTCCATGAAATACACTAAGTGGTGTTAATATTTACATCGAAAAATACACCATGTTTTTTTACATTACACACTACATAAATTGTCACGTTGTTACGATCGTTTTTCTGTTTAAAGACAGAAAATTTTCCACTTCAATGCAGTGGATTTATGTTTGTTAGTTTGTTTGACATGGTTGTATAGTGTAGAACCATGTGTGACAATAAGACATTTTAAGTAGCCGAATATTTACATTGATGCAGTGTTTTTTTTGTTCACCATACAACATGAAAACACTGCATGAAATCCACTCAATGGTGTTAATATTTACGTTGAAGCATTTGGTCCCATTTGGGTTTTTGTTTTGGGCCGATGTTTATCAACCGTTGCACATGTCTGAAATATTCACATTGATTCAGTGGATTCTATGTTCAACATAGAACATAACAACACTGCATGATCTTGAAGAATATGTACATTGAGGAATTCAGCATTTTTACATGAAAAGAGTAAATCATGTTAATATTTACATTGTGAAATACACCATTATTTCATTGAATTGAAGAATATTTACGTTGGACTGTTCTGTGGTGTAAAAATATGGGAATTGAAGAATATACCATATTGACATTCAAGAATACACCATGTTTGAGGAGTATTGTTCTTGTTCCATTATCTGTCTGACCTTTGTTTTCCTAAATCCAATTTGAGGAGTCAGGATTGTTAATGTGTTCTTGTTTTGGTGCGTGAATGACGTGTTATATTAGCAATGTGGTGAAAATATGTTATGTGTTAGATTTGTTTGAAGTTTGTTATATGTTACTATGTTAATATGAGAAGGATGTAGAACTGCACGTA